TAATTGGGGGCGGGTTTCCTAACCCTAAGCAGCTTTAGGAGGTGTGACCTCAACCTCCAAGATTCCCCCAGCCAGCATGGCTGGCTGGGGAATTCTGGGAGTTGAAGTCCACACATCTTAAAGCTGCTAAGGTTGAGAAACACTGCCCTAAGTTAAGAGGCAGGGATGAAAATACCCATGTGTTGCCTCGGTTGTAGGATGGATTTGGGCCTGGGAACCGGCGTCTCTTTACCCCACGTGATAATTCTCTTCTCTTCTAGATCTATATCCATTGCCTTCTCACAGCCTGGAGTCAGAAGCTCCCCACAAATCCTGGCAAGAAAATGTGCGTCTTTGACAGCATCTCCTCCAGGTGAGCTCCAAGCCCTGAGCACTTCTTGTCCCTCCGTTTCTGAGCCAACCGAGTGCCTTGCAGCTGCATGAGAAGGTAAGACTCCCATGGGCCAAACTCAGCTCCTGATAACTCAGCGGTCCCATCAATGAAGTTTTGTTAGCAACCACGTGGAAGCAGCTTGCTACCATCTTTTTCCAAGATGTTTTTTGATTTCCCAGTCTGGCCAACAGCCCAGAGACTCCCCGGTGTTTCCCCTCTGAGTATCAACCAGGCCTGACCCTGCTTAGCTTTCGAGATCAGCCAAGCTTGTGGGAGCTTGGTGAGAGATAAAATTGGATGGTGAGCCAACTCTGAGAAAAATTTGGAAACGCTGGAGTGGGTTGAGCATATCCTGGCTTTTGCTTGGCAGCTCAACGCAGCCGGCGCGTGAGCGTCTCTGTTTTATTCCTGCCACACGCCTGTGAGCCGCGTAAGTCACCCAGAGAGCTCTGCGGCTGATCGGTAAACATTGGTCCCCTGGTCCCCATCCATTACCTTAAGCACTACATTGCTGAGGGTTTGGGGGTGACTAACCCCCTTTTCCCACCTGCATCTTTGCATGGGGCAAATGCAACTGAGAGGAGCAATGGAAAAATGAGATGCCAACTCCTTTTTTTTTATCCCGCCTTATTTTTATAAATAACTCAAGGGGCTGAACATACCTGATGCTCCTTCCTCCTCCTATTTTCCCCACAACAACCACCCTGTGAGGTGGGCTGGGCTGAGAGAGCGCGACTGGTCCAAAGTCACCCAGACGACTTTCATGCCTAAGGCGAGACTAGAACTCGCCGTCTCCTGCTTTCTAGCCTGGGGCCTTCACCACTAGACAAAACTTCCCCTCTCTTTTATAAGTTGCCCTTTTCACCAACGGCTTCCTCATAGTCTGGCAATTGACCTTTCATTGCCAGGTGTGGCAATACACAGCCAGGTGCCAGTCCTCACTAAAGGACTCTGCACCCATCCCCAAGCAGGGGAAAATATACCAGTGCGAGTTTTCCTGTCCACTTGCTAACGCCAGTCCTGTATCTTTCTTATCATCTAAGGTTATGGGAGACAAAAATACACTTTACCCATGTCATGTCTGCCCAGGGGCTATGTTGGAATAAGAGGGAAATGCTACTTTAATAGGGATACAGCTAAGAATGATGAAATCAAGCTAAGGTTACAGAGATACAGCAGAAAAGAGATGTTCAAGTCTCTTCAAGTTGAGCTTGACTTTCGGGGGCTTCATTTATTTTACTTGTAAAATTTATCTGCCTGAAACATCTGGATTCTAGGCAGTTTACAGAAATTAAGTGTTAAAGGCAAGATACAAATCCAGAATTGAATTAGCTTGCAAAACTCAAAAACGGTCAAATTAAGAAGTCGTGTCATGGTACGTCAATTTCCAAAGAACCTCCAGAAGAGCCATGTTTCCACCAACTTCTGGAGGGCCACAAGGGTGGGGATTGTATGTGCTTTGGGGGGGGGGGTGCTGTTCCTGAGGATGTTCTGTCTGTGCAGTTGTTTGACAACAGCCTAGAAGTAGTAGAACGGTTGCTCTGATGGTTTTTGAAAGGTGGAAGAATCTAGATGAACTATCCAAGTCTTCAATCTGCAACTGTTGTGACAGCTATTGCCACCAGGAATCCCCTCATGGAAATCTTAAAGGTACCCGTTGGCCAGTCTCTTATATTTTATCACCTTTAAGCCAAAGACTGACAAGTTTCACCCAACGTGCAAAGTTATAACGTGGTTTCCATGTTTTGAACGTTGTGCGTGGTGTGAACCTCACGCCTGTGGTTTGTAAATCATGGTTTATGGCTTGTCATGATATTTGCATCTAGCTAATCATGGGCGGGGTAGCCAAAGGTGGTTAAGCCATAGAGCTGACTCCATGGCTCAGCATAGAGGTGGCTCCAGAGCTTTCTGAAAGACTACAGATTGCCCACGCTTGGAGCTCCGATGCAGCTTCAGTTCCTGCAGAAATTTGGAGAAATGTATTTGCTGTTGTGATTTCCAGAGCTTCCCCTTCCTGCCACTGATCATGATATGCTTTGTCCCAATCGGTGTTCCTAGGTGAAAGGATATCACACAGAGAACTCCTTGGTCCTCTGAGAGTGCGCAAAGAAGACGCCCCATGGCTGGAAGGTTGGCTTTTCCCCAGCTTCTTACTTATAGTTGGTTATGGGGCAAGACGGAGAAAAAAAGATCGAACTAAGAGGCCCAAGTGAGGACACAGAGACCACTGGAGGGTTAGATTTTTCTGACATAGCAAGATGACCCATTGCTTGGATCTGCACCTGATTCAGTTGAGACCCCTTTCAGCACACGGAGTTTAATGATCCCCCTTTGGGTTTGACTGAGATGTTCAATCAGAATCAACGTGACTGACTGATTTGGACCCATTTTTTCAAATAATTTTGAATGTTCGCATCAAAGCCAACTAGTATTTAGGAGAGCTACCTGAAATTGTAGAAAGAGGTGGAGATGGTGCAGCCAATCAAGTGGAGCTTCCAGTTCAGAGCACGATTATCTGGTTGTTCGTGCTGTACAGACTATCTTTACATTCTAAGCTACATTCTGGTCTGTGGAAGCTCACGCTCCAATGAAGTTGCCTCAAGACTTGTGTAGAACCTACACGGGCCTTTTTTCACACATGAGGAATCACAGTGACTAGTCATATTCCAGAGCCTTTGCTAATCACGGAGAGCATGACGATCCTGCTCAATATCGGCTAGCCACAGAATGGGATCACAGCGAAAAATCTATCCATGTGATCTCTAAGAGTTGACCCTGACTTGATGGCACAACATCAAGAGAACGTGAGCATCAGAGCTTGCTTCTTGGGTTACAGGAGGAGGTGATGGGAACAGATTCTGGCTTGTTGTGTTCTAGTCCAACTTGCTAGGCGCAGATGAGCACTGGTTTGAATTCCTCCACGTTTGAGGTAGTTCTTTGAAACAGAAAGGAAAAAGTCAAAATGATGTTGGGAGCAGCAGACAGTGAGGGCCCCCCACCTGTCCTGTTGTTTTCCTTGGTCCTTTGCTCTTTAGTTAATTTCTCAGCCTGAGAAGATGTAATAAGATAGAACGTTCCTGCTAAGATTTGACAGTTCTTCCCTCGCATCAGGCCAGCGTGTGGGATGAACCCATCCAGGAACGAAAGATTTTGAATGCAATAATTGACCTCCATTATCCTGTTTTTCCTGCGGTGGGTGCTTTTTAGTTCCTTTGTTTTGGGCTTCTAAACCAATTGCAAACCGCCCAGAACCACTTTTGAAAGTTGGGTGGCCGTGTAAATTCAGTAAGTAATAAAACAACACCCTGGTTGACGTGCAGATACATATGCACCCAAAAGGCATGGCTGAGGAGTGTTTCTCAACCTTAGCATCTTTAAGATGTCTGGACTTCAACTCCCAGAATTCCCCAGCCAGGGAATTCTGGGAGTTGAAGTCCAGACATCTTAAAGTTGCTAAGGTTGAGAAACACTGCTGTAGAGGAAAGTAAGTTGTGGCCCACTGTATCTGGAAAGCTGAACGTGGTGCTGCTATGTAGTAAAACCCTCCAAGGGTTTTTGAAGAGTACTTGATTGGGCACACCTTTCTCAACTTGGCTATCCTCCAGATGGGTGGACTTCAAACTCCCAGAATCCCTCAGCCAGCATGGCCACTGGAAAGGATTCTGGGAATTGAAGTCCACACTCCAGGAGACATCAAAGCTGGAGAAGGATGACGTAGCGTCTGTTAAGTGAGGGCGCGCTCCTCCATTCTTCTCTTCTCCAGGGAAGTGCCACACCATGAAGAGGATGTTGTTGGTGAGCGCGGCCTTCGTCTGCAGCTGCATCTTGGCTGCTCTCTTTGTTGGGGTCCTCATAGCTCTGGCCCTGGCTGTGCTGCGCTATTCTGGAGTGGGTAGGAGGCACAGGCGCCTGAGGAACCGGAAGGCGCAGCGGAGTTTCCACACGGAGCTACAGACGGTGGTCGGAGCCTGCACTGAGACCGACGAGATCGAGAAAGAATCCAACATGGACTACTGCAAGCTTAACCGCAACACCCCAGAGAAAAACTAACCGGATCCTTAATCTGAGAATTAAAAAGTGCTACCAAAGTCGCACTCTGTCATTACTGGCTAGTGTTAAATCCCCGGTAGCTTGATGGCTCTTGCGTCACTTTGGCTGGGCTCGTGCAACCAGAAGCCCTTTTTTTGCTGAACAGCTTGGATGAAGGCAGCCAACTGTGGTTTATTCAATCGACCATCAATATACTGCCATGCGTGCACCAGGTTTTTCTCTGCTTGGGTCTTCCAGTGAGGGCTGCTGCTTTGGACTAGCCTGGTTCACACGTCCCACTTAACATTTTTGGGGTGGCTGGGGGTCTTCGAAAGTGCACGTGTCTAAAAGACATTCAGGGCCTTTTAACTTGGGGGGGGGTCAGAGTTTGATCTTTCCTTTTCTGTATTATATTACATTAGTTTCCCCCCTCTGTGGTAGGAATTCACGCTCCCCATTCTTCATCGGTTTGGTTCCAGAGGTTGCAAACAGCTGGAGAGGCACCGCAGCTTAAGTTAAAACATTGGTGGTTTGGTTTTGCCTTTGATGTGATGTTAAACTCAGCCAATATTGTTACTAAACCTGGCTTAGGGCACAGCATCCTATCTAAATGATGGTACTATGGCTTGGTCAACAAACAAGGTGGGGATCCAGATAGGAACCATTTTCTCAAGAGGGGCATTATGGGGCACCCCATTGTTAAACTTGACAGGCCAATTGCTAAGTAAAAATGTGTTTTGATATCTATAAAATTATTCATTACAAGTATAAATGTAATAAAAAGATCCATAATTTGGACTGCTCCAGTAGGAAAAGGAGTGCCTACACATTGCAAATGATCTCAGGGTACGTGACCTACATTAACGTGGCCAAGAGAAACGGAACTGGCCGCCTCCTTCATCTGCAGCCCAAGTAGGATGTTGCTAACCTCAAGTTGGTTCTGTTTCTCCTCCTGGTCCTGCCCATCTTGCTGTTCTGAGGATGGTCCAGCTGCTTTCTGGGAAGCTAACCTTGTGTGTTTGTGGTCTGGAGAACCAACTTCTAGAAAACCATCACACCATCCTCAGAACAGCTGGACTGGCATGGAGCAGAGGAGAAACGGGATGGTCTGGAGTCTTCTAGCATGATCTGTCCTCAGAAGGTAGGCTTGGCTCATCGTGCTGAGCTCCCATCCTTCCCCACCATCAGTTGGGCTAGCTAAGCGACATCTGCGGGTCCTTGCACGGCACCGACATTACGTGAAACATTTGTGTGTGGAAGACATTTTTTAATTATTGCTAAAGCCGCCTTCCAAGTTGATGGCTTTCAAGAAGCACTCTTGTACCTAACGCCATAAAGCTGTAATTCTGAACTGCGGTACTATAACACAACGAACAATAGACATCAACTTGCTTCCCCTTTATTTTTAAGATAGGCAAAAGAGAAGTGACTACAGTGAGCTGTCACCCAGGACAGGTCGGTGAGAATTCAGTGGAACAACAGTCTGACCATTTGTTGCAAATCTCAGTGCAATTAATCACTAGCTAATTATCTAGTACAATTCACCCGTGGGCTTCACAGTGCAGGAGAAAAGAGCGAGCAGTTTTCGTTTGCTAGTCCTTGCTACTATTTATTTAATACAGCTTAGAGGCCACCAACTCCAGATAACGTTGGGTGGCTTACATTAAAAAAAAAAGTAAAAACTTAAAAAAAAAAACACAAGCGTGTGGGAACAGCTGCTCTAAAATCCAAGCTTGTTCTAGGAACTCTTCCTTTATTTTTAGTAAATAAGACCCGTTTTTTGAAACAAGATCTGACGATCAAGTTTAAATAAATGTCCAGCTCTTGGTTTGCTCCCCAGTACCTGAACAGACCTTGAAGGAATATCTGTCCCTTGTGTGATTCTCACCTTCCCCCACACCCAAGATGGGTGCGGGTCTTTTCCCCGGACCCAGGTTTAACCAATTCCAAATCTGGGTCATCGAATCTGGAGGGAGAGGTAGTGCGGACAGGGCCAGCCATTTCAAAAGGAAGGGGGCTTCTCTTCACTCTTGTAAAGTTTGCGAAGGCTGGAATCTAATAAGAAATCCACTGACCTGTATAATGGGGGGGAATGGAAAAACAATTTAATCTTCTCTTAAAAGGTATTCATATTTCCAGAAAGGCAAACTCTGCCAATATATATATATATATATATTTTAAATATCCACACCGTACTATAAATTCCAGGGTCTGGAATCACACTTTGGCTTACAGGGTACAGGATCTCTTCTAAGCTAATCCTAAAGCAGTAAAATTTACTCCTCAGAGAAGGCCGTGCCTGATTTCTTAAAGCCTTTTGCATACCAGGCAAAACACATTTTTATTCCATTGTGCATGAACAAGTTGGAAATATTGACTGCTGCTCTTCTGTAGTTCTGGCAGAACAGGTTAGGCTATTTTAACTGCGTTTCTCTTAGAGCGCCATGTTCACACAGCGTGCATTGGTGACGAGTCGAAGGCCCGTCTCTAGTTACACTATTAACTTTTAAAGCTGAAAAGACTCAGGGACCACGTCCCGAAAACAGATGTGCAAAATGTTTTGAGGTAGAACACAAGTGTGCAACAGGTTCTGGAACAGAATGTGCAGTGAAAAGTGACACAACAGCGTTGGGAGAAAAATCACATCGGCAAGATTTTTTTCCCCCTTTTAATCCAGTGTTTCTCAACCTTGGCCACTTTAAGATGTGTGGACTTCAACTCCCAGAATTCCCCAGCCAGCAATTCTGGGAGTTGAAGTCCACACATCTTAAAGTGGCCAAGGTTGAGAAACACTGCTCTAGTCTGTACATCACAATAATTCTGGGAGTTGAAGTCCACACATCTTAAAGTGGCCAAGGTTGAGAAACACTGCTCTAGTCTGTACATCACAATAATTCTGGGAGTTGAAGTCCACACATCTTAAAGTGGCCAAGGTTGAGAAACACTGCTCTAGTCTGTACATCACAATAATTCTGGGAGTTGAAGTCCACACATCTTAAAGTGGCCAAGGTTGAGAAACACTGCTCTAGTCTGTACATCACAATAATTCTGGGAGTTGAAGTCCACACATCTTAAAGTGGCCAAGGTTGAGAAACACTGCTCTAGTCTGTACATCACAATCTCAGGAACTTGAGCATCAGTGCAACCAGGCCAATAAGGAAGCCGGGGTGGGCATCTGTGGCTACTGTCAGTGAAAGGGGCTGGCCTTGGCTATCGTTCCCCCAATCTGGAGGAGACTGAAAGGCAGAGCCGGACAAGGAAGGTGATTGTGACGTTCCGGATTAATGGAAAAAAACAAAATACTGCTGTGTCCTTGAGTGTTACGTTTGTTCCTGGCCCAGGTCTTTACTAATTCATGAATGCTATTTAAAGGGCAGCAGACGTGCATCTTCAATGAGAGAAACGAAGCACCATCGCGTTGCAAAAACTCGTGTTGGGCTGTGATAAAAAGACAGGGCATTTATAAAGCCCCAAATCCCCACGTTAAAATGTCCTTTTCAGAAGCATCCCTTGGCCAACCCTGGGCCTGCCACCATCCTCAGCCAACAGGCTTGCAAGGGATGATGGTAAACGTAGTCTAACACATCTGGCAAGTGCCAGGCTGCCCAAGACTGCTGTCTCGGCCAGCTTGTATGATACTCCAAATATCTGCCTTCTAATAAGAGAGGTTTATTCTCTTTATTGGCAGTCGTAAGCAATTAGCCTAAATCACCAGCAATCGAACCCAACTTGGTGGGATTTATCTAAAACAACCCTCTCTCCCGTATCTCGGTGTTCTCCAGAAATGTTGAGAACATAACTCCTCTCTCCTGGGTATCCAGGGAGCTGTTTTCCAGATTGGTCCCAACCACATCACGCTACAGAACCCTGTTCTAGAACAAAGACCAACGCAGGGGACTTGTTCTAGAACAAGGTGGTCAATTACAGCCAGGGATGTAGTGATTGGGCTCAAAGACGACAAACCATATTGTAGCTGGTTTGATTCCCGCTTAGCGTACCGTATGAACCTGGCCACTGTTGTTTGTAAACCATGAGTTCCAAGCTATTTATTACGAGTTATTTATTTATACATCACGCTCCTATAATGCAACGTGCAACCCACACCTCTGTTTCCCAGAAGACACCCAAGAAACTCACATCCAGTAGGATCTCTCCAATACAACAGCGAATGATTGCCAATTTTTGTGATGTTAACCTCAACTTTTCTCTCTCTAGGGTCAATCCATCCATCCATCACCGCCCAGAGTCGCTCTGCGGTGAGACAGGCGGTGACAAATTTGAAATATAAATAAAATATAAATGCAATTGTGTCTTACGGAGCTCATTTCCTTTTGAAATCCCTTTTTCTCCACTTCCAGAGGTCCCCAAACTCCCCAAATTCTCCACAATGGCCATGCTGGTTAGGGAACCCTGGAAGTTCTGGAAGACCCCCATAGCTTTGGTTGAGAAAAGCGGATTTAAATTGCACACCCCTCGTGCTGACGGACCCTCTGCAAAGGGGCTCGTGTTTTATTTTGCCGACTCGGCTCTGCCCTCTAACCTGACCCAGCCCGTACCTGTCGATAGGCTTGATGATGAAAGGAATGGCTGCAAGCCCGACAGCCGTCGTTGTCCACTTCCTAACAGGAAGGGGCCAGCGGGTCAAGCTGCCCATGAGGTAGAGGGACCCTGCACAGATGCGGTTGATGGTGAATCCAGGGATGACCACGGAGGCCAAGCCTTGCCAGATGAACGTGTCCACCACCGCCACGGCTGCCCGGGTGGTTCTTCCTTCCTCCTGAGGTTGTGCCTGGTGGTCACAGACAGAAGAAACTTCCAACACGAGAACCTGAGATCATCACAAACTTCCCCTTCATCCTGTCGAGACTGTCAAGTTCTGAACATGTTCTTCATTCGAAATCGGAGGGGAAGGGACTGAATTTATCAGAACTACGGGATATCATTTGTGTGTATCACACGAATGGTTGCCCATCACACTAAGCCACCACACCCCTGGCTTTGCTGTGGCTTCAAAGGAGGCGCCAACCTACTGGCGTGGCTTTGGAGTCATACAACCTCCTTAGGCTTGACTTAAACAGACCCTGGGTAGTTTGTGGCTCCCAATCGGAGACTCAAACCTGGGCTTAGCAGGTGGGGTAAACTAAACTGTCACATTAGGCCTTAAAGACGGGGTAGTGGTTTGGCCATAGGGTGTTAGCCAAACACAGAAACAGAGTAATATGTTCATTCTCTAGCCCAGTGTTTCTCAACCTCTAAGCTGTGTGGACTTCAACTCCCAGAATTCCCCAG